AGGCACTGCAATGCAAGGAAATCTGTCATTCAGCCATGCTTATTCTTATTGATGACCTTGATTGATATAGGTCAGTTCTTCACTGAGATGCCAAAGGGCTGATGAGTGGGTGCAATTCTTTTTGACTCCTTAAAAATGTGATTTGAGTATTTATCATGGCTAATTCACTCCACTCTCCTCACATATGGAAATGAGCAGGTTTTTCCCAAGTCTCTCCCTGTGCCCAGATCTTCCCACTGAAGGGAATCCTCTGCTTGGAGGTGACTCTGAATACAAGCCAGGAGCTGTATGACCATCTGACTAGATCCCATCCAGGACTTGTGTTTGTGTGTGTATGCGAGGGGCTGGAAATGGTGCACATCACCTTCAGCCCCACACCTTGGACTCTTCCTACGGGCCTGGGGCCTTTCCTGCTCTCATACTGGAAACCCGTGCAGGGCATAGAGGAAGACAAAGCCACAAAGCATCTGACTAAACCTCTTCCGGGAGGAAAGGGCTTTGAACACAGGGTTCCCACACATGCCTATCAGGGAAATGTCAGGGCCACTGCTATTGAAATGATTTGGGTAAATGGCTTTAAAACATTATATTTTTAGGGCACAGATACACATAACACTTAGACCTGCTTAAATGTGGCTTAGACCTGAAATGGACAGACAGACAAGGCTGCTAAATTGGTTTAAAGCTGCCTAGAATTGTTCAAAAGTATACCCAGAGAATCGAGTCCAGCACCAAATATTTGTGACACAGACGTGGTCAGTTCTCCAGGCATCCCACACCACATCACTCCTCGTCCTTCCACTGCAACTGGCCACTTTAGTATACAGCCAGAAAACTGCTGCCCACCCCCATTTTTTTCCTTTTGTTGGTACTGTTTGCACTGCTTGAACAATATTTTTTCTAATGACCCATTTCCTACTGAACCTCATCATTCCTCCCCAGTCCCTGGAAACCCAAAAGCATGGGTTTTGAGTCCAAACACTGTCCCCACCCCACTAGGTCAGGCAAGCTCATTGCAGAGTTCAATGAAGCGCAGGCTATGGACATGTATTGAACTCATATTTAGGTGAGATGGAAAAGCAGAAGAGTGAAAATGTCCCCACCCACAAGTCAACCACCCCTGGCAAGCACTCCCCCAGCCCCACTCCCCCACTGTGAGGCGGGCTGGAAGTTCAATCCCACCCTTTGTTGTCTGACCCACAACAGTTCATACAAATTGTGAACTGGTTCTCCTCATCGGTGACATTGGGGAATGGCTTGTTATGTGTGTCCGCACTCTGTCCCATAACAATCATGACACTTCCCAAACAGTGACATTTTGGACGGTTCACTTGTTATACATGTCTGTACCCTTAGGCTTTCTAGAGGGAAGGAGCCATCAACTTTGCTGCCGCTGTTCCTGGTTGGTAACAGACAGTTTTCTGTAAGCCTGTGTCAGCTGGCCAGAAGCACATTTGTTTACATTGCAGCCCTGATTAGACACGGAAAATTACCCCTTGCTAACAGTGAGTGTCAGCAACTGGTACTCAGCAAGGTTTAATAGCAATGTAGCAAAGGCAATGTATGGTCAGTGCTATTTCAGAAATGGCTTCTGCAACTGTATAGAGTGCTGCTTTGGCCTTGGCTATAGTAGCAGTGCTCAGTACCAGATCAGCTGCTCCCGCAGCTGACACCCATCATTACCAAGGAGCAATTTTCCCAGACAAAGCTTGTTTGATGGCAGTTCCACAAAGACTCCTGCTGCTGCAGCAGCAGCAAAAGCACAGTGAACTGATTGCTGTATTCATAGGATTGCTGCTTTAACCATGTTGGACCCTCCTGCCTTGCCTACACTAAAAGGTTTCACAAAACAACTCCCAGTGGGTCAAACACGGGTTCAGCTGAAAGCACGGTAGAGGTGGGAGCCCTTATGTATAGAAATATCCCAGGTGCCTAGACCTGTTTTCACCATCATATTGTTAAAACTCCTTTTCAGAAGATTTAGCTAGCACACTGGAGAAAAGTACTATCTAGGTTCCACAGGAGCCTTCTCTACACTAGGTTTACCCTTGGTTGATTTATCATAGATCCATCTGTACTGATCCTGTCACCTGTGGGAATATGGCTGTAGCATTCCCTGACACAATCTCGGCCTTATACTATCAAGCAAATTACAGACATTATGACTTCTAAACCAGGAAGTATGATAGTGAGGATGCAATGGGAAATACAGAGTTTTCATGAGCACTAAAAAGGTGATGAGTGTAAATCTCTGTTTACTGGGCTAAGGGTATATGCCCAACCATCCAATCCAGGCATTTATGCCAAGTAGAATATAGGAAGATATATTTTTTTATTGATCACACATGAAATTTAACTAGAAATGGAGTTCAGGTGCGAGAGGAATCTGTCTCAGCTAGAAAAGACCTTTATAGTATTGCTTGCTCTGTGCCATTTGAGGTAAAGTGTAATTTCCCAGGAATACATCATTTTCCTTTCTACATGCACTTTGAGCAAACTCAGTCCTTAGCAATCATCATGGTTTAGTAATGGTATTGTCTTCAGATGTGGGGTAAAGCCCAGTAACTACATGGAAGATGAAGACTTTTTTTTTTTTAATTGGGTAAGTTTCAGAACAGTTTTATCGTTTGGGTTGAAACAACATATGCTTTTAAAATGGCAATTTCTGATAGAAGAATAACTACTGAGATCTTTGCTGCTGATGCAGATATTAACCAAGACTGCCCTCTATCTTCCTCTTTCTGGCAACATAGGTTGAATGAGCTTTGCTTTCTCTTGCAAAGCTGATACTGCCTCTATGCCGCCACAGTTCAGAAGTGATCACTGTATTGGAAAGCCCCATTTCAAACACATAGGACCATGCTTTAAAAATCCTCAACTCCCAATGACAGCAAACCAGATACACCAAGTAGCAAGCTCTTTTGAAAATCTGGGCAGTCAGGTCCATTTTTCAGATGACCTGAGCACCAACAGTTCTCGGTGACTGCACCTGCAGCTGTGTGTTCACATCTCTATAAATTAAGCCCCCGAGTTCTCAAGTTGGGCAACCAAAAATGGAGACACCAAAATTAGCGGAAACTATCAAATTCTTCATAAATGTTGAGGTCTGGATGGGTAGGACCTGAACTAAATGTTGAAGTCTGGATGGGTAGGAAGCTAGAAGAAGAAACAGGAATGGTATTCTGAACCAGTTAGCAGTCATTCTTTACTAAGTATTCACTTCTTGTTTCACAGTTCTAATTAATGAACATTTATCAGTTATTATAAAAAAGGGCTAGAGAGATAAATACCTCTCAGAACAAAAAATGGAAAATTGAACATTTAACTTAGCCCTATACTTGCACAGGACCACTATGACTAATGAGGAAATAAATGATTTTGTTATTGGAGTGATGCTAATACACTAAATTGTAGTGCTCTGTTAAAAGAAAAACTTTACAAAATTGGCTGTGAAGCTGTTAAAAAGAGAGATCATAGGGCAGCAATCAAAGATAATTTTTAATTAGATGTGTATTAAATGAGAAAAATATAAAATTGGGCATTGTTTGCTGACGCCTGCATGTTTTTCCTTTGATAAAAAGTACAGCATGAAAGAACTTACACTTACTTGCATTATGTCCCTATTACTCTTATACCTTTCCCTACACTTTAAAGAACAACTAGAGTTAGTAGTGACCAAAACATTTAAGTAGCCTAATTTTTAGAGAATAGGTATTTAGCAAATCATAACCCATTCAGGCTTCTGAAGTTAGGCAACCAGAAAGAGGCCTCCCAAAAATCAAAATATTTCCCTAGAAATATCTCTAGACACTCTTTTTTGTTGCATTGCAGACACACTGCAAAGAACTCCAGCTAGACTTTTATCAGGGAACAAACAGATCTGAACGATCTGATCATCAGGGATCCGGGTTTTCTATTTGCCATGGAAAAATGCAGACAAACCATGGGAAACCACGGGTTTTCCCTTGTAGTCTGGCAGAGTTCCAGCCTACAAGGAGCTGCTTGGGGCTGGGAGAAGTGGGAGAAGGGTGATCACAGGAAAGGGTGCCACGTGCATGTGCACACCACACATGCACATGGCAGCCAGGCAGTGTGGCGGAGAGCAACTCCTACAGCTTCCTGCAGGTAAGTCTATGGGGGGCATAGGCAATGCATCAGGGAAATGGAGGGGCATAGGCAATGTGTCAGGGGGGCATGTGCCCCTGCAGATCTCTGCACCCACAGTGGGCACCAAGCTGTAGCCTGGCCTGACTGGCACAGGCAAAAGCCACCTCTGCAGCCCAGCGGGCAGGACCCAGGGAAGGCAGAGTGGAGCAGTGAGACTCATTGACACCACTACCATTACAACTACTGTTGGGACCTCTTCACCAGCCATGCCATCAGCAGTTCAAGCAGCAACAGACTCATGCACTAGGCCATGGGTCTACCCTGTGCCATGGCCTGTCCACCGCCACTACCACTCCCCTCAGACTGCAGCTATACCCCATAAAAAAAAAATTAAATGCCTAAATATATAGGTATTTAGAATTTATTTTATTATAATGATTGAGACACTGGCAGGCTTTTAAATTGCTTTAAAATTGTAAATATGTCAATAAAACCTTGTGTTCAACTGATATCGATATATGCAGTGGCATTTCATTTTAATCGCAGAAAAATGCAGATTTGGGGGGGATTAATCAGAGAATTTTGCATTTTTAAACAGAGAAAACCAGGACCCCTGCTGATCATGCTTTCTTGCACCAGCTTAAAATGTTATCAGTAAATAGAAGTGCTTATGTTCACAGCAAATACTTCTGGACTGTGCTTTCTAGTGGGACTCAGCATAATGTACTAGAAACCATTTGTGTGCATATCTTCTATAATTTATGTTTGTGAGTAGAAAGACATTTTTTTCTTTCAGCCATGCTGAACCATGCAATAATATATGAGAAATACTGCTTCTCTCATCTCTCTCTCCCTCTCACAGTCTACACAATCTTAATATACTTTGTACTCACAGCACCGTTCCTGAGCTTTTCCTTATGATTTTAAACTGAAGGGAGGAATGATTTATGAACTCAATGTCATAGCTGGTGTCAGCAGCAGCAGCAGCAGATGACTGAATCTTGAGTGGAACTTCAAATCTTTCACTGTTAGGATCATATATCTGAACCAAAGTGGAAACAGGCACACATCAGTTAGTCAGCTGCTTGGCTTAAGGTATTTGGTCTAAATGGCTTCATTTTCTCAATATTCACCTTAAATCTGAGTCTGTCATTTGTCTGGAACTCCACATCCATGGCAACAGGAGAAATATCATTACCAAACAGTGACATAGTGTCAAGTTTTGTCAGCATTACTCTACAACACAGAAATATTTAATTGTCAAACAAAATTTTAAAAAGCCATTTGAGTACAAGAACAGTGTCATGCAGGGAAACATAATAAATTAGTCCACCCTGTTAACTCACCACAATTTCCATCTGCATTAGAGCTTCAAACACCCAGGATTTTGTCAGTGGGTGTAATCATATGTGGGCACAAGAGGACCTTTTCTTTCCCAAAAAATCAGCTAGACTAGACATCATCTGATGGTTACTCTTTGGGGAAGTCTGATATGTGCCACAAGAGAGGTCTGGGGAAAAAATATGTGCCTCTCCACGGTCAAAATACAGACCATGGGCTGGATCCAGCCTGCAGTTGCTCCTCTGAAGAATCGTATCCAGCCTGCAGCTGCCCTGGGTTTTGGTGCCTCTTGCTCTTCTCCCTTCCCCCTGACATAGCTGGCTGCAGCAGCAGGAGCCACCCCCCACCCTGGCTGACCCACCCTGTCCTGCCCCCAGCTCCCAGTGTACACTCCAAGACAGGGGATGTTGAGCTCCTGGCCAGGCTTCTGCCAGGCAAAGCTGTCTGGGCACAGCTCCAACCCTGCAGCCCTTTGCAGACCAGATAGCATGGCCCCTGGCAAGTCAAAGTTCAGGTATGGCTCTCCATGCTAGTGGGGGAGGGGCTACAGGGAGAAGAGGGCCAGAAGTCACGGGTGATCTGGGTTCTGCCTGGTAAGTGCATGGATGCCGCTAACGCGGTGCTGTGCTGTGCTCTCATGAGCCACTCCATATGGGCACAGCTGGCATGGCTTCTGCCAGATCCCAAGTCCCTGGCACGTGGCCAGGGCAGGCAGGAGCTGTACCAGCTGCACCCATGTGGCCTGAAGTGGTGCATGGGAACACAGAACAGCACTGGCCAGGCCCAGACATGTGCCAGAAACTCAGAGCAAGGAAGGGGATGCAGGGAGAAGGGGGAACAAAGATTAGGTTCCCCTAATCCTTATCCACTCACCTCTCTGCCCTTAGATCAGGGGTTGGCAATTATTTGGGGCAGAGGGCCACATAGGGAGCTTGGTGGGAGGGAAGGGGGATGCTGACCCAGCCCATGACAGCTCACCTAATCCTCTAAATGGTCTCCTGGCCCAAATTAATTGCTCATCCCTGCTCCACAGTTATTCATTCTAGAACCAGAATCCAAAGTAGGTCATCTGGGGGGCCTTCAGACCAAATCACAACAAAAAATAAGCCCTGGTCCTGACAGAGTTCTTGATCAGCAGATCTCAAAGTGCCTTGGAGAGTTGCCTAGTATAATCCTTACCACAGAGGTCATGTATCTTTCAGAAGGCCAGTGCCAGCCAGGTATAGGAGCCAGCTTGCTGAAGACCCCGCTACTTCCTTTGTGAATGCACTAAGAATCATTAAAGAATGAAGTAGGATTGGTTTACCTCCATCCTTTACTTGTCTTTTGTGGCTTCTCAGTTGCAAAGTAGCCATAAGGATCATTTGCTGGGAAATAGCACCATGGAGCATTAGGAACTTTTGTAGAACACCAAATGCAACTCTTTGCTTCACATTTTTCTTTTGAGGCACCGGGCTGTGGGTGGCAGTCAATGCGCTTCTGAACTGGAACATCACTGGGGCAAGCTGCATCTTCAGTGGAGTCATAGAAGCAAAACGGAACATTAAGGCTACTTGTCTCGCACCACCGGCACCCACGACTTAGGCAGGCCGCTTCAGTAGCCCCAGGTTCTGGGTGACAGTCTCTCCTGAGGTCTTCAGAGATAGTTGTTGAACAAATGTTTGAGCCAGATGACTGAAAGAGCACTAAATCAGGCAAGAAAATAGTAAATGAATAACAAAAACATGAGTTGAATGTGAAACACTGCAATGTTCGTCTTTTGCTGAGTTGGGGGCTAGCAGACATGACTTGTGTAACTGTGGTGACCTGGAAGGAGCTTACTCGTGGTTCAAAATTAGTTCAATTCTAGCTTTCAGAACATTTTCCTGTATTCTTCTTACTCAGAAGTGGATATTTCTTCCAGAGAGTTGTAACGATTCCCCATGGCTGTGGTTCTTATATATAGGCAGTTGTGTGTTACGGTGCTCAGCGTCAGTGGTGTTCAGTTGAAGAGTGAGTCATTTGAAATCGTCTGAAACCAAACTAGAAGCTAAAATATGGGTAAGGCAAAATCTGGTATCATTATGGAGGCATAAGAAGCAACTCCATACTCAAGGTTGTCTTAAAATTTTCTCTCAAACAAGAATGAAAATTTCTGCTTCACTCTAACAGTTGAATGTTATGCTTGTTTACTCTTATTATAACTGTGTATATTATAGTTCATTTATTCATCACTAAAAGTTAGATAACAATAGTGGAACAAAAACAAAAAACTAACAGCTAATCATCCTCAGGGTCTTACACTTATTAGGCACCGTAACAGGATGGCACCCTGGGGCTGCCGTGAAGCCCCTAGTGGCCACCTTGACCCTGCTCGGCTCTTTGCTCCCAGCTCTCGGCATCTTCCTTTAGGGAGCTTACACCAGTTACATTTTTGCGTGATCTGGTCCCTGAAAGCACTCTACAGCCATGACATAACACATGTTCACAGCTGCAGAGCACTTTTAAAATGGTTGATCATGTAAAAAATTTATCCTTGATAAATTAGCTATTAGCTGAAGGCGCGTCAGAGCACAGTGCCTTAGGGAACTTCTGTTCATGTTCCCTTGAGGGTTAATTTTTCATATGTGCCTTTGTGGGCCTGTCACAGAGAAGAGAGAGTCTTCTTCCTGTGCAGCAGAGGAGGGGGGGAAGGGGGAGCTAGGTGCTGGGGTACCTGGGAGGGTTGAAGTGGGGGGCTCCCTTCCCCCACTCCCCACCCAAGCCTCTGACAGCAGCAGCATGCAGCTGCTAGCTGGGTTTGCTGTGGCTGCAGCTGGGGGGTGGGAGGCAGGGCTGAGGAGATGGGTGGTTTGGCAGCCTCCTGGGAGGGTGCTGGAACACCTCTGCCTGCTGTCCAGGGACGGTACAGGCAGGCTCGAGCGCCCTCACCCAACAGGTAAACATCTGTTCAGTCGGGGGTGGGGGGTGGCTCTAAACTCATGGTGCTTTGTGTAAACCACCAGGAGTTGGAGTGCAGCCTCTAAAATCTGTAGGCACCCCTAACGTCTCTCTGCCACACCTGTGATGCTGCTGATGAAAAGGGACCGCTGCCCTTAGAAGCTGACAAGCTCTAGGTGCTCTTCCTCATCCCTGCCCCCCCCCATGGACTTGCCTGGCCTGCTTAGTTTGGAGTTCAGACCCCGACTCCCCCAAGTCCCTCTCTCTCTCTTTCTGCCTGGACTAACACTGGGCCCCTCAGACCCTAACCCTTGTCTGGGCTTCAGCCTGTTTGGCCTCAGCCCCTTTTTCCTGCAGCTAAGGCCGCTTAGCCCAGATGCACTGACTTGGACAAAGGGGCTCTTCAGGTTTCAGCCTCGCAGCGTAGCGTGCCTACCACGTACCTCGCCCGTGGCCCCTCCACCCCCACAACCACTCCCAGGTCTCCAGCCAGTCAGCAAACGTTAACAACCATACACCCGTACAACTGAAATATATGCAAACCGCTTTCACAAAGGTCACCCCTTTGTCCTTGAGTATCCTTACACAAACTATAACTCCCAGAGCTAGGCTCCCTCTCACTTGTGGGTAGCTCAGGTATCTGTGGGTACTGCTTCCCGCAGCGAGCTTCCCTTTGGGATCTCCTCTCCCAGCAGGGCCTGGCTGCCTGCTCTGGCTCAGGTCCTGAGTTTATACGCCTGGAAGCCCTGCCCCCTTTCCTTCATGTGGCTTTTTCCCAACCATACACAGGGGTTTCCTCCTAATTAAGGGCCAGCCTGCACACCTGCCACTGTGGCTCCACACATTCTTTTAAGGTGACAGGAGCTCTCCTCTCCTGCCACTGTGCCCAGGTAACGGTGTAGGTTCCCTGCTACAGGCACATAACTGCTTTCCTAATTATTGGCCTAATACAGCAATTCTTCTTGAATGTAAAGGATCCTACTAAAATCGATGGAATATACCATGTTAACATGGATTTGCAAGACAGAACCTCTATAGTGCTGGCAACTAGCTATTAGCATTGAATATTATAGGAAAAATCTACTACAGATAGTAGGGGCAATATTATATTTGCATTTTGCTTTTTCAGAGCAGCAAATTAACAGTTAATATAGAATACAGAATGCCAGAATAATGGATGAAACTGTTGCTTTACTTCAAAGTTTCAATTTTCCACAATTCTTCAGTTATTATCAAGTAAAGGATGTAAAGAGTATAGGAATGACAGATGAGCACTTGTCCACAAGGACAATCTCCTATGATTTTAAGGAAATCTCCTATGATTGCTTTACCACTAGCACTAGAAACAGGGAATGTATTTATATAGACCAATTGCTGAAGGTTTTGGCAGTGTATCATCATCTTGACCTGATCTGTAGAGTTAGATGACAGAGAGGTATGAACCTCGGCAGTTGATCCATATAAACACTCACACTGTTAGTGCTGGAGTGGGTTGAAACTAGTACAAACACAAGACAGCCTGAAAATTATAAGCAAGGGGTGGGGGAAGGGTGGTTAAAAAGTAAAATAACTCAATGCTTCACAAGCTGTCACATCAGCTGGAGACAGGCAATGACCTGGGCTTCTTTAGAAGCGACTGAGGTCATTAATTTTGTTTTCTGCCTCACTCCAGCAGGCAGTCATAGCACTGACCCAGAGGATAGAGGAGAAATGCAGTAGTTTATTTTATTCAACAGTGTCTTAGTTAAAAGGTTTCTTCTAAATCTTTAAAGCAGATGCCACCCTCAGTATAATCAGCTAAACAACCTTTTAGGACGCTGGTTTAACTTTATTTAGCCCTATAGATCGGAATAGGCATGCCTGAGTAGGGGTGTGGGAGTGTAAGCAGGTGTTCATCTTTTCTGCTCTGTTTGTGCCAGAGGAGCAGGGGAAATGCCAACACATGAAACTCTCACATTAAACACGCAAGACCTGCAAACCAGCTGCTCTCAGAAGAGAATGTGGATGTGATCTCTGTGGAAGAACCAGTCAGGTCTCTAACAAGAATGAAATCTCAGGGTCTATCCTCATCCTCCACCTTCTGTTTTGACCACCGCAGGACCCTGGATTTGCTGGAACTGTCAAAATGACAAGTCAGCCCAGAACTGACCGCTGGCCACAGACAAAAGTTAAAGCCCCCCAAGGCTATTGGCAGGGCAGGTAGTTAGTGACAAGGGATTTGCTGGTGTCTCGGGAGATAGGGGGAAAAAAAGGGGGTTGCATCTCCACCTAAGTCAATAAGGGAGATCATTTTCCCCACATTATTAGCAGTCCCCACAATCAATCTAAGCACAAAACCAGTGAGCTTTAAGGGAAGACTCAAGCTACCTTCTCCATAGCTAGAAAGGCATTTATTCCAAAACAGTGTTACGTATCAGAGAGAAATGAGTAGAAAGAAAGGGATAAGAGGGTTCCTTGAAGTTAAAAATGAACTCTGAAGACTCCCTCCAAAGTGTCTGTCAGCAACAATCAAACAAATCATTTTCTCTTCCTCCTGTCCTCCACCTCAGTCACTCCACTGCCTCAGGAGGTCAGCAATGTTCATGATTATCTGTTAACAAGCATCTCTAAAGACTCTCTGACCTTTCACAAATCCTTGGACAATATTCTCAGTGCACATTTACTTTATTTCTTGTCTATTTTTTTCGGAACTAAGTCATCATATCTTCATAAATAGAGCTTCACTGCTGGGTATTTCATCTGCAGCTACATACTGGTGCTAATAGGACTACTAGCTATCTTCTGATAATCCATTCTTCCCTCCTTGTGCCTCCCAATGCCTGTTTCCTCCCATAATGCCTTCTCTTTTTCACCTCAAGCTTCCCCAATCCATATCTATGCTTCTGCCTCCTCCTGACCTTTTTCAGTAGCCTAAAAGGTACCTGCTTTAAAGGTACAACAGGGTTTGGGGATAGGAGACTCCCCTGGAGAAAAAAAATGAAACGTCCAAAGCAGCTGCATTAGATTTGACAATTCAGATGTCTGGGCAAATAAGAGCAAAGGAGTCAGGGTAAGGCCCAGATACACGGGATATTGGTGAGGTAGACTATCGTTCTCAGTGACCTATAGCCATCTTCCTCACAGAGAAGCCTCACATCCATTTACTTTTGGCCAAATCCAAATACCACATTCACTCGAATCCTAGATGTGGTTTTACCCCCATACTACATGAGGGGAAAAAGGCCCTCATCTTGGATTTCAGGACAAGGCAGGGGAGGGGCGGGCGGGCGG